CTTCCCTTGTTAGAATTGAAATCAAACAGAAATGAAATCAATCGATAGGCAACTTGGCAAAGCAGCGGCTAGTGTGATTGTAGGTGTAGGATTTTGAAGGTAACAGATTCCGAGTTATATTGGTTTTTTCGGCACCCTGTCTAGTTACTTCTCATTCAAAAAGCGATAGTTGTCTTAACTTTTTTACTCCTACTTCTCACTGAGAATAAGTGGTTCTCTCAACCTTTATTACTTGTATTGGGAGCAAGGCGGCCAAACTAGCCTCAATTGTCATTTCGAAACTCAACTCTCAGCTGCAGGTTATATGCTGAACAGCTCTCATTTCCTCCCACCTACTATAGTTCTTCTGTAAAGTACTGTGATCAATAGCTAGTAGCGCATCAATACGTTGATGTACAAATTTTTTATACGTGAATATATGTAATTTGGAAGCTTACGCTATTTCAGATAAAAACAGATACAGAGATTTCGAAAGAGATAATAAAAGAAGTGATGAAGGAAGCTAGACTCATGAGAGGCTTAGATCATCCAAATGTGGTAAAACTTCACGGAGTTGGAGTTCTTGATCGTCCTCTCTACATACTCTTAGAATATGTTGCAGGTAGGAGATACTCGATTTGGTTTTATTCATAATTCTGAAGTATGTTGCTCGTTCAGGGGGATCATTGAGGAAGTATTTGAAGAATAACAAGAATTCCATGACTATAGATGAGAAAGCTCAGATAGCACTTGGGGCAGCATGGGGAGTTGATTACCTGCATAAGTCTCGCATACTACATAGGGATATAGCTGCTCGTAACTGTCTGTATGACCAAGTCTCTGCGGTACCCCAAATTTTAATATTTCGTTTATCTATATCACATAACATGTGTTTGTTTTAGGTCAAAATATCAGACTTTGGCCTTTCTCGGCCTGGCACCGCTTATAAAATGAAATCCGCCAAGAAAATGCCAGTGCGGTGGATGGCACCAGAAAGTATAACATCTTTCACGTTTTCTCAAAAAAGCGATGTTTATTCATTTGGAGTAAGTAGTGTACATTCTCTGAATGAAGAAATCTTGCACCTTTGAACGTATTTAGGTACTCATTTACGAGATCTTTACAGCAGAAGATCCATATGGTGACGTAACGGTAGCAATAGCCAGGAAAAAGGTTAACTTCAT